GGAGTATAAGCCATACTGGACCTCTGTGATTCCTGGTTCTGTCACTCATTTGTTATCTTTTCCCTTTTGGGATATCAATAAGAACATGCCATAGATGTTACTGCAAGCTATATATGGAAAGACACCAAAGTTCCTTTTTTTTATTTCTCACACTCATGTCAACAGTCACTGTTACAACCCATCCAAATTAGGCAATTGCATACACAATGAGAAAAAGTATTGGATTGCGGAGAACTTAGGAACAAGAAGTAACTAGATGGGAAGACAATGCCCAAAAGAGGAGAGATGGATTTGTTTCACCTATGTTATTGGGAACAGAGCACAAGATTTAGTAAAAGAGCAAACACAAAGGCTAAGCCAGTACAACCACCTAAACCTGTGCCGATCTCAATTGACGATTTGTATATGAAACTGGAACAGCAATTAGAAAAAGAAATAGATATCTCAAGAATGAGTAAAAAAAAAAAAATATTAGTTTGTGGAATTGGGGGAAAATAAGTAGAGAACTCAGCATAACCAATTGTTGGGTCTGTGGAGGGGCTTTGATGTCAGAAGAATTGCCATGGAAAGGCAGCAACTTAGGCCCAACTGAGCTCCTTAAGTGGAACCAAATAAGTGTAAGTGGAGAAAACTTACCAGAGGGGTGGATTTTGAGTTCAACAGTCATAGGGGAAGAATGTCTATGGCACACTAGAAAAGAGTTCCTTCATGAAGTAGGAAAAACTCCCTGTAAAAGATATAAGGTTAGTAATGGAACTTCTGTATGGTGGATCCCAGAAGGACCAACCATGTACTGGACCCAGAAAAAAGTTAAAAAGGGAAATTCTAAGTATGATAATAAAATCAGACTTTTTCAATGTAATGATACAGGACAGGAAAAAATCCTTGCTTTGTCATCCCAGAAATTTCCAAATTCCGGGAAAATATAGATCAGAAAAGTTTGACTACTGGAAAACTCCAGATGGCCTATTTTGGATATGTGGAAAAAGAGCATACCCAAAACTTCCCTCTCAGTGGAAAGAGAGCTGCACTCTGGGAATCATACAACCAGGATTTTTTCTTTTGCCAGGACCTGATGGAGATCAATTAGAGATACCAGTTTATGGGAATCTAAAGAGAAACAAAAGGGATTTGATTGGAAGATTCCAAAAATGGGGAGATGAGGAATGGCCCCTGAACGTATCTTAGAAACGTAAGGGCCAGCCACCTGGGCACAAGATGGGAGTTGGGGATATCATACCCCAATTTATATGCTAAATTGAATTATAAGACTCCAAGCTGCTGTATAGATAATAACAAACAAAACTGGTAAAACAACTGGTAAGGTAATAGAATTAATATAAAAGCAACAAACTCAAACAAGAGCTGCCATGTATCAGAATAGGTTGGCTTTAGACTATCTATTGGCTAAAGGAGGGAGTATTTGTGGAAAATTTATCAGATTGATGAAAATTGAGGACCACAGAAAAGTCATTCTAGGAGAAGTAAAGGATATCACAAAAACAATGTTAAAACCTAGCTGGTAGAGTAATGTATTAGAGATGAGATGATAAAAGAAACTAAGATTTTTTCCTTCTATGTGTTACAACTGTTTTGATATTTCTTCCTTGTGTAATCCCTTGTTTTATCTTGCCAGCATAGACCAGAAGATGCAAGTAATCAAGGAATATTGCTCAAGCCAAATGATTTACAAAGAATAAGAGGGAGGATTGTGAAAAATGTGTATTTTATGATTGGCTTTTCGCAAGTATTAAAATGAATATTGTATGTGTTATGTTAGAAAGTTATGCTGTATTAATTTTCTTAAGTATTAAATTAACTATTAAATACTGGTTTAGGTTATAACATAATGTTAAAATAGAAACTATGCTATGTAAGATA